TATGACAATTATGTATTAAAATTTAAATTTCTTTGAAAGATTTTAGATTATCGAATTAGTAAAAAAACTGGTTTTTATTGTTTCACTTTGTAAATATAGATTGAAACTCATGACACCTCTAATCACTACAAAAAAAAGAGGTGTGTAGCATCATTTATTTTGTTTGTTTAAATCAATTATAAATGATACAAATATATTTTGCATCATTTATGTAAGCGACTCTAAAAATGGTGATGCAAATATTAACATCATTTAAAAAGACCGATACAAATATTTTCATCATTTATATTAATCGATGCTAATTTGCATCGATTTAAAAAATTGATGTTAATATTTACATCGGTTTAATAATTGATGCCAAATATTTTTTTATCAATTAAATAAAAATCAATTTCGAAAATGTTATAATTGGATTATAATTTAAAACTCATCGTAAATAAATTTTTTACTTAANGCAAAATTTATTTACCTTTAATTAAGCTATCAAAAATCAAAATCAATGTTGAACTTTGACAACAATATATAATTGAGGGATTAGTTATTTATAAGATTAGAATCTTCTTACCCCCACTTTTAATTATCGATGTGGGACATACAAAAGTAAGCAAATGATTTATTAAAAATGTGTTAGCATCAATTTTTTAGTGACATAAATTTTACAATCATTTTTTTAAATGATGCTAACCAAATTTGGTAATTACGTTGGTTAAATAAGGAATGTAAATCAATATTTATATGTCAATTTTTTTTAAGTGATATAAATTAATATGGATTTGCATCAATATTATTAAACCGATGTTAAACACGTCAAAAACAATATCAATTACTACAATTGATGTTAAGTCACATGTTTTGTATCATTTACTTAATAAATGATTTAATATTATACCATTTAGGTTTTTGATACTTTTTAAATGATGTAAAACACCTCTTTTTGTAGTGAATAGTCTAGGACATGATTCTATGTTCGGTTAGTTTTCACAAATATGTATTCTAACTGTCTACTTTTTAATTAACATAAGAATCTAAAATATATTTCTAAGCATGTAGGGATATTAGAATAATAATTCCATAGTTTGCTTCATAAGTATACAATTTAGCGGTAATTTTTTTAAATTATTATAACAATCACAAATCTAAAAAATTATTGTTATTCTTCACTAACGACGTTGGTACGGTGAGTCTCGACCTTGTGCGATTCCACACTGGTGGCGTTAAATACATGGCTCGGCTTGAGGGTTTGGAGATTGACGATCTTCTAGTCGAACACCAAACTATGTG